TTAGCCTTATTAATCCACAGATTACAGAAATAGTGCTGCTTTCAGACTGAGTGGAAATTACTCTGTGCTCATAACTATCTAATATAGTTAGCCTTTTAGACCTTGAGAAGTAAAATATGTCAGATATTCAAACTATCCAAGAGAAAACCTTAATGATCCAAAGGCTGAGATAAAAGTTATAGAAGTTTCTATAATGTATCACAGTGCAAAAGTGTCATCTATTGAAGGGTAGCAGGGGTAAAGTTTTGCCAGGAATGCATTTGGCCTAAGTAGAATGTATATTTATTCATATATATATAAAACATATATATAAAACATATATATATTAGGATGTTGATTTGCATATAAAGTTCATATACATGAAAACTTCTATATATATGGAAATGAACTTTGTTTTTACCAATAGCAAACAGATAATACATATCAATAGTCTTCCTGAGTAAACTCTAAATCTCAGCAAAAGCTTAGGAAAAAAATGTTGGGCAACATCAAATTAATGGCAAGTCAAAGAAAAATATCACCCTAACAAAAAATATCACTGGGATTTGAAGGTGCTAGCATGGAATCTGTAGACTGTCTTGCATAGTACGTCTGCATCATATTTTAATAGTATTAAGTCATGTAATCTATGAAACATGAGAAGTCATTCCATTTATGTGTTTAATTTCTTACATCAATATTTTATGCTTTTCAGTGTACCAGTCTTTCATTGACTTTCACTAAGTTTATTCCTAAGTACTTTCCAATTTTGTTATTGTAAATATGATTTTATTTTCAGATAGTTCACTTCTAGTGATAAAAATGAAACTCATCTTTGAATGTTAATTTCATAATCTTCAATCTTATTCAATTTGTTCATTCATTTTAACAGTTTTTCCCTGTGGACTCTCTAGGGCTTTCTATATATAACACCACATCATATACAAAGATGTGTTATTTTACTTTGTCCTTTCTGGTTAAAATAACTATGTTTTTCTTGGCTAATTGCTCTGTCTAGTATTTCAAGAATTATGTTGAACAGAAGAGGTGAGAGTGGGCATTTTTGTCTTGTTCCTAATCTTAGAGGAATAATTTTCAGTTTTTCACTATTGAATATGATGTTAGTGTGGGCTTGTCATATAAAATCTTTATCACCTATGTCAAAGTATATTACTTCTGTATCTAGACTGTTCAGAGTTTATATCAAGAAAGGTTACTGATTTTTTTTTTTAATTGAGGCAGGGTCTTGCTCTGTTGCCCAGGCTAGGCTGTATTGGCATGATTGAAGCTCACTGCAGCCTCAAACTCCTAGCCTCAAGTGATCTTCCTGCCTCAGCTTCCCAAGTAGCTGGGAGTACAGGTGTGAGGCGCTATGCCCAGTGGATATTGATTTTGTCAAATGATGTTTCTGCATCTATTAACTATATTAATTTTCCTTTCACTCTGTAAATGTGGTCTATTTATTGATTTGCCTATGTTGAACCATCCTTGTATTCCAGAAATAAATCCCACTTGATCATGAAGTATGATCCTTTTAATGTGCTATTAAATTCAGTTTGCTAGCATTTTGTGGAGGATTTTCGCATCTATGTTCATCAGTAATATTGGTCAGTAGTTTTCTTCTCTTGTCGTATCTTTTTCTGGTCATGCCACCCTCATGAAATGAGTTAGGATGTGTTCTCTCCTCTTCGATTTTTTGGAAGATTTTGTGAAGCAGTGGCATTAGCTCCTTTAAATGTCAGGTAGAATTCACCAGTGAGGCCTTTTAGTCCTAGGCTTTTCTTGGTTGGTAGGTTTGTATTAGTGCTTCAATCTTCTTTCTTAAATTGTTCTGTTCAGGTTTTCTATTTCTTCTTTATTTGGTCTTAGTGGGTTGCATGGTTATAGGAATTTACCCATTAACTTTAGGTTATTGCCTTAACAGTACTGGGGAAAAATTAGTTATGGCCTAGGCCATGCCAAAGCTAACCAAGATAGGTAAGAAGTCCCTTTGCAGAGCCCAGTTTCTGCTCCAACTTTGTGTCAAACTGCAAAACTGCTCTTGCTGCCAGTGGTTTTTAATACTCAATAGAAAGTAACTTCTTGAAATTAGGACACCTCATCCCAAATGACACTGAAAAATAGGACGTCCTCTCCTGTGTATGCATGGAGGCTGTTGCTACATGAGACCTGGGAGAAAGGGCTGCCCTCTGCCCCTCTAATTGCCCTTCCCAGCTTCGTGACATTCATCTGCACTGGTTTGTGTGGCTGCATACTGCTGTTGTCCAGTGTTGCCTTGGGGATTCTCCTGTAATTGTGGTGGCTGTGGACAGGGCTTGGAGCCGTCATACTCCCTGTGCAACTGTGGAGGGCATCCCAGTATCAGAGGGCATGTTTCCCAGCACAGCATCAGCTAGTGTTCCTGGGACTAGTCCCTAAACAGTGTCTCACTACTTGCGGGTGTGATGTCCCTTGAGCCAGGTGTGCTGTTCCAGTGCAGGGCAGGCCTGGCAGTGCTCCAGACTACGTTGGCTATTTGGTGTCAGCCAGAGTGAGCAGGGCAGGACGTGGAGCTCTCCCTCCACCTCATCAGTGATAGAGACACAGGCTACCAGGCTCCAGGGGAGCAACGACTCCCCCTGGCAAGAGTCAGGAGCATGGTGCCACCCTGGGTTCACTGTCTCAATGAGTGGAGCGAGTGTGAAAGCCTCAAACTGCCTTATCCTAACCCAGGATGTGGGAAACTTCCCAAGTCCCCATCGCACCTCACGACAGTACGTGCTGCCGAGGCAGGAGCCTTCTCTGTCGCTGCCTCCCTTGCTGCTGTAGCTCTTTGTCCTGTGGCCTCCAGGATCGCAACGGGTCACCCGTGGTGAGGGGTTTCCAAACAACTGTTAGCAAAGTGTGGTAATCCAGCCATGTGGTACCAGCTGCTCCTAAGTCTCCAAAGGAGGTGGCAAACCTTGGTGCTTGTAAGTCACCCGCCCAGATGGCCTGTGCACACCTAAGTGCTGCAGCCACACACCAAGGCTCTCAAGCGATCCCAAGGCTTTGGTGCCAAACCAACAGCCCCTGCCACCCTCGCTTTGTGGACACTGACCCAGACCCCTCAGAGGTCAAATGGGACACCCTTCAGCAGAAAACACTGGCCTATGAGACAGGACAAGGTGCGGAGGCATCCTCTGGCTCCCCCATTATTCCCGGTCACCATCTGACGGAACAAAATTATGGGAGGTGCCCAAAAGAAACGTGAAATGGAGACATAACCATACCATGATGGCAATGCAACATTCCCAAGAGAAGTTTGCACAGAGAGGGAGAAAAGGAGGCAGTTTGGTTATTTTTGATAAGGTGTCCAAGCTGCAACTCAAGTAACAGAAATGTGTCCATTCCTGGGTCTAGCCAAGGACCCCAAAACAAATAATTCCCCAACAAACTCGAAGGTACTTAGGACAAGACTTGTCCATAAACCACAGAAGAGGCCCCTCTCTCTCTGCCACAACAGTGACGCTCTTGTAAGCACAGGAGTCACAGTGTCAAGGGTACAGACGAGGACAGAGTCATTGAGGAAAATAATCTGGGGAAAATGATCCCCCAGGAGGAGGAGCCTTTGCCTCTTGTCACGTGAAAGATGGCCTTACTAACAACCTATCTAATAGATGAAAATAAACTACCAAGCAGAAAGGAAAAAAAACTCACAACACCTAACTGCCCCTTTGAAGAAAAAACTCACAACACAACTACCCTTTGTTTAATTACAACACTTGCTTTGCTTTCTCAGCTCTGAAGGCCCCTAAGCGGACAGGAAGGGGGCGAGATCTCTGCTCCGGCTCTCTGCCTCAACTCTTGCTGGACAGATTTCAAGGACTCAGATGAAGGCCTCACAAGAAAAAAGAAAAATAAAGAACACCTGCAAGAACTGGAACTGACTGGAGATCCAGTGGAGGCGCTGGAAGACTGAGGAGGAGCAACAGGTTTATTCAGATCCATGGCCAGTCACAAGTGTGCTTTGACTTTTGGTCATAGGCCCCCAGTGCCATCACTCTGAGTTTACGTTGAAATACAAAGTCCAACATTTATAATTCGAAAAATGATAGAAAAAACCTAAAACCCCACACAACAAAAACAAAGGCTTGGTTTAAAAATCACACTGAGATGCCATTCTCCCTGCTGTCACCTGCAGGATGCATCTGTAGGTGTGAGAGACCCTGTGGGGATTTAAGACAGTGAACACGTAATTTCCGTACCTTTTGAACACTTGTTATCGCAAGGTCACTGTTTTTGAGCATTTGATTTTACCAAAGATACACATAACACTTCTGACCATCCTTGGTGGCTGTAGAACAGAAGCTGGCAAGATCCAACCAATCAACCTTGACCTCGCTGTTCTCCACATCTAAGGACCAGCTTCTGTTTGTAACAAGGTATGGCAGGGGGCAACGCTGGGCACTGGGTCACCTGCTCATGGCCTGGGGACCAGGGCAAAGCACCTGTGCTCTGAGAGGATCCTTGGCTCCTCCAAGGTGGAATTCTATGGCCCAGTCTTGGAACGGCCAGGAGAACATGAAGACAGACCCGCACTTTGCCAAACGTGGTGGTGAAATTTACCTTTGTATTAGGAATCAGAGTGCCACCCTCTAGTTTTTTCAGGATTTTCTTTTAGAAACTTTGATTCTTCCCTGGAGAGGAGGCTGAGCCACCATCCTGGTACCACATGGGGGGAGGAGGCATCACGACCCACTCTGCCTACCTCAGGGACAGCCAGAGGGGAGGGGGCTGCCCTCCAGGGCCAGGGAGGACAGGCCAGAGCTGGGACACCGGCTCCTCAGCTTTGCACAGGAAACTACTAAAACGGTTACTGAAAAAAAGGCCTCGGGCTGAGAGTGAGGGGCTGGCAGCCGGGCTGTCACAGTGTGGCTGATGTGCTTTCTGCTGCCACCCCCTTCCTTGCCACACCTCCACTGCTCTCCCTTCTCAGTTCAGTTTCTTCTGGATGACTCCAGTTTTCTTCCAGGAAAACACCCACTAGCAGCCCAAAGATGACTAGGTTCTAGCTTGGAAGTGGCCTCCCAGGCAAACCCCCGTCTGCTGTGGAGACAGCGGCCAACCCGTCAGAGCTGATGCAGCTTGCCCCGCTCGGTCAGCACCGTCATGGCCATGGCGTAGAGGACGTAGCCCAGGACGAGGAGCAGGGTGCACAGCAGGGGCCCTACCCGGAACAGATAGGCCACAAAGAAGGCCAGCAGGAGTGAGAGCAGCGTCCGGTAGCTGCCCAGGAAGCGCAGGCTGAGCCTGGGGCCCCGGGTCTGGCTGGCCGCCTGCCTCCGCCCCACGGGGCTCAGCAGGTGCCTGTTGGCCAGCACTGGCTCCGTGAGGTGGTAGCGACAAAAGCTGCCAAGGAAGTCGTTGCGGGAGCACAGAGCCACCATCTGACCTGCAAACTGAAACACAGAGACACAGGTGGGGTGGGGACAGTAGGTGCCACCTCACAGGCCACCTCGGGGCTCAGGACAAACCCTCCCCAGGGCTACTCTCCACCCAGACTTGCCCCAGGTTTTCAGATGGGACAGGAATGCTGAGGGGAGGGGCTTCTGGCCAGGACCATCCCGTGGAACCCGTTTCTGGAAGAGGCCAAGCGAGCCCTGCCACCCACTCACTCTGCGGTTGATGGCGGACGACAGCCGGAAGAGAGCACGGACCAGGCAGGTGATCTCATAGCTCCGGATGGGCTGCAGCTCCGAGTCCCCCTGGTACTCGATTTCAAACCTTCGCAGCCCGTTGATGATCTAGAAACCGAGGCCACAGGAACAGGTCAGAAGATATTAAATACATCCTTATAAACAACCCAAAAGAGCTCTCTCTGCTCACTGGGGCGCGGGGAGTCGAGGCCGGGTCAGAAGGCCCAGCCGGAAGCCTCCAAGACACAGTCCCTCACCTGGTACCGGCCCAGGGGCGTGAGGATGAGTCCATCCTCACCCACAATGCAGTCTGGGAGCTGCTTCTTTCCATTCTCGTCCTGAGTGGTCCCCAAGGCGAGTGTGAGCTGGGTGAGCTGGGCTTCGCTGAGCTGTCAGAGAAACGCCTCTTTCAATTTTGAGGTGAAGGCAGAGGCCTGGTTTTCACCCCACTGGCCTCTACCAGCGATGGTGAAGGGACCCAGACACAACACTCCAGGTATGGGCCTGCTTCCCAGGCCCAGGTCCATCTGTAAGGGGCCTGGCATGGGCTAGGCAGAGAGTGGATCCCTCAGGTAAGGGGACCCCAATGGCCCTTGGACAAGCCCCACTGCTCGTACCCGAAATATCTGGCGCAGGTACTCCAGGGCCTTCTCCAGGTACTCATCTGTCTTCCGGACGCTGTCCTGCCCCATCTCGTCTAGGTCGTTGGCTGGGTAGGGGCAGTTGGTACCCATGGGGCTGAAGCCCAGCCACGACAGGAAAGAGAAGCCACCTGGGCTCTCCATGCACTGGTCAGAGATGGACTTGGCAGTCTGCTTGGCCTGTGTGATGAGCCAAGCGAGGCGCAGGACCTGACGGGGCATAGGCAGGTCAGCTGACTTGCTCAGACGCTCCTGCACCCCGCCACTGACAGCATGGGCATGTGCTGCCACCCATGCAGTGTGGCCCCAGGGCACCCCAAGAGGAGTGTGAGCAACCAGGGAGGCTGGCTTCTGAGTGAGCACTTTTGTTAATTTTATTTTAATTAATTAATTAATTTATTTTTTGAAGAAACAGGGTCTCACTCTGTGACCCAGGCTGGAGTGCAGTGGTGTGATCATAGCTCACTGCAGCCTCCAACTCCTGGCCTCAAGCGATCCTCTGGCCTCAGCCTCCCAAAGCATGGGGATTACAGGTGTGAGCCACCACACCCGGCCATCAGGGGGACTTTTAAAGACTAACGGATGGGCTTTCGAAAGGGAAAATTTCCCAACAAACACTGCCTTCGCTACCAGAAAGAAATTATATTTTACTGGAAATAGAAAGGGGGGGATGTGCAGTAGTGTCAACTTGACACTCACACTTCCTCCTCTCTGTCCTGAAATGTGGGCACCATACCCGGCTCTGCTCGTCCCTATAGCCTCAGGGACCCTGAGCTCGGCACTGCTGACCAACTCACCAGGGTGCGGACCTCAGGCCCGAACATCGGGGTGTACTTGCAGTCCTGGCCCTCTAGGCTGTAGACGTGGCTCTTCACCTTGAAGGAGGCATCAGTGACCACCGGCGGCCAGGGCGACAGGAAGCTGCCAGTGAGTGTGGGAGCCATGAAGAGTCGGTGCTGGCGGTGGGGGATGCCGAGCTCTGGCTCCAGGAACAGTTGCTCACCTGGAAGGTAGGACACAAGTCCGCAGATGCCTGGCACCTACTTCCAGGGGCACAGAGTACTGGCCGCCATTTCTGAGGAGCAGTGGCCCACCCAAGGCCCTGCCTAGCAGTGTCTCCCATGCAATAGGTAGGACATGGCAGTGTTGACAGGGAGACAAAGGCCAAGAGAAGCTGACACTCAACAAAGCTAAGATAAAAGCATGACAGGGATCAAGAAGATCACCTCCTGACATCACCACGAGTTCCAGGGAGAATCAGGGCTTGCAGAGGAGGCTTGGCTCATGGTTCTGCAGCCCCTCTCTCCCTGCAGCCCACACCCAGCATGCAGCAGCCACAGGGAGGGGGACTCAGCTAGTCTCGGACTCCACCCTGCACATGTTCACCTGCTTTGCCCTGGGAGCTGCGACACACTGCTTCCTCGCAGCTAAGGGCCGGGCCCCGGTTTGGCCAGGGCAGGGCCTGTCTGCCTGGCCCCGGGCTGAGGACTTACCTTTCTGGATCATTTCAGCCAGGTTGGGCTGGGCGAAGACTTTGGCCACTCGGAACACCATGAGAGCGTTCTTGGGGCTGACCAGGTCTGTGCGGAGTGCGCGGTTCAGGAAGGCCACAAACAGCTTGGTGTACATCAACAGGTTCTCCTGAACAAAGGGCGCCCTGGGGACCGAGGTGGCAGGTTGGGGCCAGTCTGTGCAGGACCCTGGCCAGACTTCCGTCTGGAGGCGGGGGCAATGCTGGTCATGCCCCCATCACCCCTGCATGTCCCTGGGCTTCCAGACTCTCTCTGGTGAAGGCCTTGTGAAGGTGTCACAGTGGCAGCTCAGCGAGGTGTGGGGGGCAGGGAGGAGGGCACAGGCAGGTGAGACCCAGGCCCTCTGAGGATAATATATCCTCAGCAAGGGTGAGGCCCCTTTCCAAGAGGACTGAGGCCATGAAGGCAGAGCTGGCCAGAGCCTGATGGGGCAGAGGGAAGACCCACCAGAGAGGTGCACGGGAAGGCCTGAGGTGAGGAGAGGAGACATCAGTGGCCACACCAGGTGCAAAGGCAGCCTGGGGTTGGTGGGGCGGCCAGGAGGAATGAGCAGGAGATGAAGAGGAAGTGGCCGCCACTCTGTGCTGGTGAGGAAGGGCAAGGGATGGTTTGGGGGTGACCTGAACATGCATCTGGGCCAGGAGGGCACAGCCAAGGATACAGGGACCAGGAAGGATGGGAACAGCTGCTTCCTTGGGAAATCAATCCCAGGGCCCAGCAAAGTTCAGTCCAAGGAGGGTGGCCTGTGCTCCCACTGGGCAGCGGCTGGGACAGGAGCCCAGGAGGCCTCCAGCACGGTGCCCCCTGAAGCAGCGTTCACCTGGCGCAGCCAGCACATCCCTGGGAGGAGGGGCTCACCATTTCTCCGACACACACCGGGGCTGGGAGTCGTTGCTCTGAGCCTGCTTCTCAGGTGCGTATCTCCATGGCTGTAGGTAGCTCAGCCACATCTCTAAGACCTGGGGAGGGACAGGAGTACCCTGAGGGCCCATCGGCTGGTGGCCACGGGGCTGGGCTCTGGGCTTCAAGTCAAATCCTCCAGTGGCCTGGAGCCCAGCTCCCAGAAGGCAGCGAGATGGGGGGTCCAAGCCAGGTTCTGGCAGCTTCTCCTTGACCTCAGTGTAGATGCTGAGGAGTTGTGGGCTCTTCCCACATTCCCCCAAAAAGCACAGGAGGGCCTGGCATATCCCTCTGGAAGCCAGGATCGCCAGCGGGCTTCTCCCAGCCGAAGGAGCCGAGGGCAGCGGGTGAGGGCAGGACCCAGCCTGCTCAGACATTGGGGCAGGCGGGGCCTTTCTGCACCTGAGGTCTGGCTTTGGAAACCAGCAGGCAGAACAGCGTGGCCCCCGAGGCCTCTGCAATAACAGTGGAGTCCCTCAAGGGCCACACGGAGGGCAAAGGTGAAGGTGGGACAGGAAAGCACTCACGGCTCTGAACGACGCATCCAGGGGCCAGTGGCCGAAGCAGTGCTGCAGGAAGAGGTAGAGCTTCTGCTGCACAAACCTCGGGACAGCAGCCCTGCAGGGGAGGGGGTCACCTGCTGCTCACCCAGCACCTCTGTTAGCGAGTCTCAGCTCTGCCTCTGGAGAGCGCTGGGCACCCCTGAGCTAGACCCATTCTTCAGAGAGGCAACCAATGTCAGAGAGGGTAAGGAAAGTCCCAAGGACACACAGCACGAAGGTGGCCAAGCCAGTGTGGCTCCTGTGTGCACCTGACCTCAGCCCTGCACAAGTGACCTGCTCAGCAGGCCCCACTCAGGCCCAGCGTCAGGCCAGGGTCGCTGCCCTTCTCCTGACAGATGGGGGTAGGGAGGAGAATGCCATTGTGCCGAGCTCCCACTTCTGCCTCCCCCTGCGGATGAAGGGACAAGAGAGCAGTAGGATGGGGCCCCTCTCTGGCCAGCGTGGCTCTTTGCACTGCGGAGGGCAGGGCTACAGGGAGAGGCCTTGGGAGCAGCTGCAGCCAGGGGCCAGCAGCTGGCAGGGGTGAGGAGACAAGCTAGAGAGGGGTCAGGGCTGCTCAGCCCCAGCGCTGCAGAGCCTCACTGCTCCCAGAGCAAGGACACCACCCCTCACCCGCCCCATGTCCTGGGCAGAGGGGGCTGTGGGTGACACCTGGGCAGGAGGGAGGATGGGGAGGGTGACACGGCAGCTTCCAGAAGCTGTAAGAGCCAGCCCATGACCTGCACCCACCGTTTGAATTCCTCCAGGGGGCTGGTGGCGTGAGAGTGGGCGGAGGGAGAGGCCTGCTCCGGCTTCAGGCTGTTGGCAAAGGCGTGCAGATGCTTCAGCAGCAGGCGCACCACCAGCACGTGCTCCTCGGTGGGCGTGAACGACTCCTACCATGGAGGAGGAGAAAGAGGAGGAGGAAGAGGAGGAGGAGGAGAAGAAGTAAGGTGTCAGGGCCCAGGGAGGTCTGCAGCGTCCATATTGCTCAGCCCCCAGGTCCAACCACATGCACTCCTGGGCTGGTCACTCTGCTCCCTGACAAAAGGCACAAGCCAGGCTGGGAGGGGGGCCAGTCCCTCAGGCACCACTGTGCCTGGCACCCAGCACTCGCACTACTTGGTCTGAACTGAGGCCATCGCCCCAGGGTTGTGGGGAGTGCTTGGCAGGGTGCTTGCAAGACCCACCCTATGGAGGGCTAAGACAGACAAATTTGCAAAGTGCTTCCCATTCCTGCTTTTGCATCACCTTGCACCCTTGGGGGGTAGCATGGGTCACAGCCCACGAGGCTGTGCCCTTGGGTACTGCTGCCTATCCTGGTCCTCAGGGGGCAGGGGCGAAGCTGGCATCTGCCCCCCAGCTCTGGATCCAGGCCCTTCCACCTGCCTCCCGATAGTGTGCAGAAGGCTCCCTGGGGCCCACAGTTTCTCCCCCCTTCCCTCCTACACATGGCTAGATGGGGGCTCAGCCAAGAGGAGCCTAGGGCGTCACTGCCTCTGTTGCCCATGGACCTGTGGTCAGCAAACCCCCAGGAGCACCATCAAGAGTGGGGGCTGAACTTTTAATTTGCGACATATAAGCAGGACCTTAGAGACCCAGATCCGAGATGAAGCCTGTTTGCCAGCTATGGGGGTGAAGGTGGGAGCCTCATGAGTGGACGGGGGCAGGAAGCGTCGGGGGGTGGGGGCCTGAAGGCAGGACCCTGAGTCTGGGCGGAAACATACCTCTCCCAACCTGTGGCCCAGCCCTTTGGGCCTTGACACATTTGCAACGCTGAGGCCAGCACAGAGCCTAGCCTCCTGGCACACCCAGATATGAAACAGCCCCTACGTGGGCCACTGCACACAGCACTGTCATCTTAGTTCTCCCTGTCATGAACACACCTTCCCACGTGCAGGTGACACAACCCATGGGTCAGGGGCTAAGTCTCAGGATGGAACTACGGGGTGGGAGGTAGGTTCTTCTACTTGTCTGTACTCGTGCGTCTTTGTGCAATGAACCTGCACGTTTCTGAAGTAAGAATAGCAAGGGACACAATACCACCGACCCCCACCCCCCCCACCCCACTCCCCTGGCACTAACAGACTAGAGAGTAGAAGGGCACCAGTGTCAGGCAGTGAGGCTCCAGCAGGATCCTTCTCCTGCTCTAGTCCTGTTCCTGGCCCTTCGATCCCACCCAGGCTAGGATCCTGAGTCACGGTATCGTCCCTGCAGCCAGGAGGAGGGGACGGCAGCCACACGGGAACTGGGAACCCACCTTCCCCTGTTCAAGTGAGCACCTACTTCCGGGCCGTCCTACAGAGTCCGGAGGGCCAGGCTCTTGCTGCCACCCCGGCCCAGCCACAGGAACCCTGCAGGCTATTTTCCCACAGGTTTCCAAGCCACACTCGCTCCCTTCCAACTCCGCACTGCTCCTGGGCCACGTTCCCATGTGGGGCCCTGGCCACAGTTGCACTTGGCCTCCACGTGCTCACTTTTAAGGAAGTACCCACAAAGCTCTTGCCTTTCCCATGGGGCACAGCCTTCCTGGCCACCTCTCCTGCTATGGGGGTGAACGGAGCCGCTTCCCTAGGACAATGTCCCTCCCTCCTGGGCCCTCTGATCCTCCTCTGCAGCCGCTTCTGCAGAGCAGGAACTCTGCTGTGTGCTGCAGTCACCATCCCATCCCCATAGGCACTCAGGGGCCATGCCATGTTTTCTCATCTTGTGCTCAAATTCACCTTCAACTGTTGTGTGCTCCCTCCCAGGTTGGACTGGACAGACCCCGGGCCAAGAGCACAGCTCCACGTTTCTGCATCTCTTACAAATTAGCTAACTCTGTTGTCCCCAAAATGCCACACAGGTCTGAACTCCACTTCACTGACCTCAAGTCTGTCTCCAGACTTGTCCATTCAGCCCAGGCAGACCGCGATCTCCATGAGGTCACAGCCTGCTCTCATCTGCCTTGGGAGGAGTCTACGAGTGAGTGGCCAGGGCTACACTGGCAAAGGCCAGCCCGGCTGGACTGTAAAGGGCTGGCAGCCTCTGGGGCCTGTGGGGCTCAGCCCCAGTGTTCCCCAACCCTCTGCCTCACGTGCAGGCTGGGGCTGCTCCGTATGGGGCAGACCCCACACCACCCATAAGTCCCTGGGCCTCAGCATCCTCGGCCACTTCCTGAGTACCAGGCCCTGCCCCTCGGGTTGAGCCAGGCCAGTGACTATTTTAGTTTCCTCAATTTGGGGCCAAGCATGGCGCCCTCCAACACCAGAGAACTTGTGACACCTCCATTGGCTGAAGGACTGGCCAGCCAGGGCCATGTGCACCTTGCTCCATCACACAGCCACAGACCAGGTGAGTCCCTAAATCTGAGGCTGCTACCAGCACACGGGCTTCGCTGGACTTGGAGCTAGCCCTCGGAATCACCCGCAGCTGGCCCTGGCCAGACCCTCGCTCGGCCACTGTGCTGACGCACGCTCTGTAGTTTCCACCCCGGCAGGGGCAAGGGAACAAAACGAGAGCAGCCAGTACTTGGTAGGCGTGGAGGGCCTGGAGGCTGGGCTGCGCAGGGCTGTGGAGGGCGCTGGAGACACTGAGCCGGTAGTGCAGAACTTCCAGCTGAGACAACAGGACAGAGACGCCAGAGAAAAGGGAGAGCAGAGGACAAGAGGATGGGTGGGGAAGGGGAAAGACGACAGGACAGGGAGGGGAAGTGGGGAGAGAAAGAGAACAGTGAGAACAGCCCAGAAGTAAGGAAAAGAAACAAAAAACAAAAGACAAAAACGAAAGCATGGTCAGTGACAACCCAAATAATGAGAGCCCCGGCAGCCTCAGGCCAGCACACCACCACCCCTGTTGGAGGCCCAGATGGGGCCCTGGGCAGGCAAAGCCATGGCCTTGTAGGCCGAGGAACAGACAGACTTTCAAGATCACCTGGAGGCCCCTCAATGTCACTTGGCCCTAAAGGCCTCTCCCATTTCACGAGGTTGGCCCAACTCGCTGCGCTTCCAGGAGGGAGTCACGCTCCTGGCCGACCCTGGGACCATATCCTGTGTGGCATATGCCCCCACAGCACACCAGGAGTCCGGGGCCTGGGACACTCTACCGGCCACCAAGGCCCTGAAGGCCATTAGGCTCAGAAAAGAAATTTTAGGGAAGCATATTACAGAAGGAGGATTCTGCCCAGAAAAGAAAAATATTTAATTCATTGGATTTCCCTAGATTATCTTGAGAAATCGACCAAATTGGCATGGGACAGATCAATTTCTATGTGTGTAAAACCCAATTAGTGTCCCCTCTGTGAATGGCTCTGAGAACTGAGACGACGGGACAGGCTCCCGAGGGCAGCAGAGACAGCAAGTGCAGGCTCGCCGGCCAGGCCCCCTCCACCTCCCACACCCTGCGTTCTGGCAATTGGTGGAGGCGCTGTGCTCACCGGTTCTAACTGAGGGAAGAGCCTCTCCTACCTCACCAGGATCCCCTGCCCTCCAGATGCACCTGGCTCCGCAGGGCAGGAGCCTCTGAGAATTCGGCCACACACACCCAGAGGCAGCAGGAACCCTGAGGCCGGGACAGCCCAGGACACAGGGAGACAACGCAGCTGGCATGCTGTCTGGCCCCCAGCCCCACCCCCTAGCTCCCTGCCGTGTGGAGGTCTGCAGAAGCACCCTTAGCCAAGCTCAACTCAGAGCCGGCCCAGCGCACATGCTGCCCTCCTGGCTGAGCAGCACACCCACTGGGCTTCACAAAGGAAGGTCAGAACGCACTTGCCAGATGCCAAGGAGACACAGAACAGGATGGGGCAGGAGGGGGGAGAGCAGGAAGGCATCTCCGCTCACAGCCTTCCTCCCTGCCAGACCCCCAGAAGGGCTTTCCTGGTTGGCCCTTGAAAATAGGTGTGTTCCAACTCGCTCAGAAGACAAGATGAACAGACAACTCGCTCAGAAGACAAGATGAACAGACAACGCAGCAGAGTGGCCCCTGCCCGTGTAAGGCTGAGCCCCATGCACAGGGCTGAGCAAGCATCCCAGGCCCAGGGTAGAAGCAGGGCCCTGGGAACCAACCACGGGGATGCCCAGTGTCTGCCTCCGCAGGTACCAGCCAGGAACATGCAGCAAGTCTGCTGGGAGCAGGGAGGGTAATGCAGGCTCTTTGTGACTCAAGAGGCCCAGGATGGAGATTTGGAGTACCCTGTGCTCTGAGAGAGCAGTGGTGGGGGGCCGTACCCCAAGCGTCCACACAGCAGAGCACACAGCTACAGAACTAGCTGTAGACTCTGCAGCGGGAGCAGACCCACAGCTTCTCCCCAGAATCAGATAAAACCGTACAGGACGCCCTTCTCAATTTAAACTCATCACCCATGGATTCTTCATTCTGAAGGACGCCCTCAAGAATTTTGTCCGGCAGCTCAAGCTACTGCAGGGAGTGTGGGTCTAACCATGGATCTAAGCATGCCCTGCCACCATTTTACTCTGATTAGTGCATTGGGGTGCTGGCCCCAGGGATAGTGACGCCAGCACAATTCCAGGGACTCTGCCACCTCCACACCTTTGCAAATGAGCGTACTGCCCAGGTTGGGAGCGGAGAAGAGCAAGGAAAGGGAAGGCAGGCTGCATGCAGGGGGGCACTGGGCCCAACCCACCACAAAAACGGCTCTGGAGGAGCGTGGGCAGCAAAGGAGGCTCGAGATCACCATGGTAGATAGGGACTGCCCGGGGCCGCCACCTCACTGGAAAGCACAAAGGTGCTGCTGGTGGTACAGGGGACTGACTGGACTGTGACTCACAGAGGCACCTGCAGCTCCCCTGCCTCCACAGCAAGAGCACCACAACCTCATGCGTTCCCACTGCCAGGGAGGGGGCTCTGGAAGCCACACAGGGAGGATCCCTGAAATGATAGACCTCAAGGACCCTCAAGTGCCCACCTGTCAGGGCGCAAGGCCCCCAGAACTGGAGAACAGCACCCACCTTTTGTTTGGCATCTGAGGGGTGGATGGTGGGACTCTGCTCCCACCATCCAGCCTGTGAAAACTGACTCAGGTTGAGGATAAGAAGTAGCAGGAGGACCAGGGCCAGAGGCAGAGATGGGAAAAAAAACTGTAGAAACATACCTTGGCATGAGGGGACTGCATTTTTTGGTACAACTCCAAAGAATAATGATGAAGCCACATTTCAACAAAAACCTGCAAAAGAGCATTAGCTGGTCAAATCTTCCTGACAACAGTCTAAGACCATTCAACGGGGAAAGGACGGTCTCTCCAACAAATGGTACTGGGAAAACAGGATATCCACATGCAAAACAATGAAGATGGACCCTTAACTCACGCTATATGTAAAAATTAATTCAAAATGCACCAGCAATCTATGTAAGAGCCAAAACCATAAACTCTTACAAAACATGGGAGAAAGGCTTCATGACATTGAATTTGGCAATGCTTTCTCAGCTATGACACCAAAACGACAGGTAACAAAAGAAAAAAAAATAGAGAATTGGACTTCATCAAAATCAAAACTCTTGTGCACCAAAAGACACTACTGACAGAGTGAAAAGGCAACCCACAGAATGGGAGAAAATATCTGCAAATCATGTATCTGATAAGGCAGTAATATCCAGAATACATAGAGAACTCCTAACACTCAAAAATAAGAATACAAACAATCTGATTGAAAACTGGGCAAAGGACCTGAATAGACATTTCTCCAAAGGAGACATACGAATGGACCACAAGCACGTGAAATGATGCTCAACATCACTAATCATTAGAGAAAGGAAAATCAAAACAACAAGGTATCACTTCACACCCACTAGGGTATGATAAAGAAAAATAACA